CGCTCTTCCCTAGGGCCCGGTGTCTCTGAGGCAGGCGGGAAGGACTGGAGCCCTTACTGTCCTGCGGCATGGTCTGCCTTTGGCTTGGCCTTCTGACGCTCTCGCTGGGGTCAGCCAGGACACCAGCTGTGGTGGGTCTCCGTGGCACCAGCTCTGGGCAGAGCTGGGTGACTGGCTGGCATGTGCTGGGGACTCTCAGGGTGGCCCCAAGTGGCATCACTGCTCAGGGGCCTGTCACCCGGGATGTCCATGGTCACCACCCTGTCTGCTTGCCCCAGGTTCTGGCGTTGGCCGAGTGGCATCTTCAAGCATTGTCCCCTCCTCGTCCTGGTCTTGCCCTTTGCTGGGTCCCCCGCAGTGGCTCAGCCAGCGGGGGCATGGTATGGCGGGTTTTATATCCAGTACGGGTTAAGAGATGACCTCCATAGGGACCAGCAGTTAGCATGATGGCTGTGTTGCTGGACTCCCATGTAGTCGACCGCGGGGTGAGTCCCAGACCCAGTGCTTAAACTCACACCAGGCGCACGTGCGTGCATGCCCTAGATCTCGAGAAGAGAACAGAGGAGAAGGGATCGCAGAGAGGCCATCTGCCCTGGGGGGAGGTAATTTCTCCCTTTCTGTCTCTTTCTGGTGAAAGCATGCACCGTATAACAAAAACCTCTCTAAAAAAAAAAAAAAGTGATATGACCTCTGCCTGGAAAAGGGGTTCACGTGGCAGGGAGGGGTTGCCTCCAGTGCCACTCGAAGGCTTCCCACTGGGGTGCCGAATCCCCGGTGGCGCCGGCCGGGAGCACGGCGGGCTCAGGAATGCAGGGGGCGCGCTTCCTCTGCCCCTTCTGGAGCCAGGTCCCCCTGAGACCTCTCCCAGGAGCACCGTTACTGTTTACGGGTTGCTGCTTGGGCTTTGAACACCCTAGAAGCAGAGGCCGCGAGGCTGCCACTTGTCTACCCTGTCCCATCCCGGGACTGCATGGCCTGCCCACGCTGTCCCCTAGGTGAGCCTGGCGAAGATGCGTGTCCACGTCTCCTCCTGCCTGAAGGTGCAGGAGCAGGTGGCCAGCTGCCCCCGGTTCGTCCCTGTGGTGCCCACGTCCCAGCCCGTCCCCAGGTAGGTGGCCAGGAGGGGTGCCACAGCCCTGCTCTGGGAGGTCCTCACCATGCAGGAGAGGGCCTGTGGCCCCACGTGAGGGGGCAGGCCAGGGTGCTCACCGACCTCCCCCGGCCACGGCCACTTGCCCACTCGTGTTGAGGCAGGGGGTCTCGCGGGGTGGGGGGTGCCTGCTGCAGAGTGTGCATGAGCCCTTCTGCCGCTGCATGGCCCCCTGCGAGGCAGCCG